CTACTAACAGCAGTACGCTGTCAGAACATAAGGTGAGTGGGAATGTCTATTTGAAAGAAAGCTAAACTTCCCCAATCCCCTCCCACACAGCCACTGATGTATTCAGGCACCAGGAACTGGTATTTCTGCTAAGCAGCTGGTCTCTACACTGCTGTTCCATGGCCTTCTCTTATTTCTGGAAATGGAAGTCCTCATTAAGCAGAGTTTCAGCGAACTATGAAGCAATTAGTTTCTACTATAAATTTCATTATAGCAGGTATTTATATCTATGCATTTTATTGCTATATTACACAGTCAGTCAATAGCATGTAGGCAATTTAGACCATGACGTATGTCTAGCACAGATTGCTTATATAGTGTAATGACTAAGTTCAACAGATAATCAACTGTTAAATAATGGAAGTGAACATTAAATGTTCAGCTTCACATGAGTGAATTGAAATAAACTGTTGTTTCATATTTTAGCTACTTCTAAACTATAGAACCTTCTAAAGTTCTGTAAGGACAGCTCTTTAAATAGTTTGTATTACCACAATCCCATGAAAGCTAGATAAAATTAGACTAAGACCACTGCAAATTTTGGTTCAAGATCTTGAATAACTTTAATTTATTTCTAGTTTACTCATTGTTTAATTATTCACATTATTGATAACCCAGGAAATAAGCTCAAAATTTTTCTCCCCTTTCCCATTTGGTCAGACTCAGCAAGTATCAACTGTTTCAAGAAACAGTTATTGTAACATTTCTCAGTAGTAAAGCAGTTACCAGTTATCACCCAACAGGTTATAAATTCAATACACCTAACCCTCCTTTTTTATACATTGATCTGCCCTCAAGCAGCATGAAGTATCTAAAGTAAACTGACATTTAACTGTCCAAAGACAATTCTTTCAGATAAATTAAAATCCTTACTTCAGATTCCAGCATCTACATGTGTGAATCAGGAGAGTGCACTACTGGGTCAGTCAAAACATAAATTGAACAATAAATTTTAATCATTCATCAAAAATTGGAATGCAACATCTATATTTCAACAACTTTATTAACATAGTCAAGCAGTGATTAACATTCACATCTATTATGTCACATCATACAAATGTAAATACAAAATTACTACAGTACAATATATATTCTCTGCATGATCCAAAATATTTGGTGGCCCCAAAAACTCTTTTAAAATTCAGCAGCTTATCAAAAATTAAAACCATATTCTATTTAAAATGAAGTTCTGTTAGCACATAGGCAGACTTCAAGAAGTATCACTCAATTTAGTACAGTTTGAGAGGTTGCAGGAGGATATGTTTGAAGGAAACATTCCAACATTGTGGCAGATACAGAAACATAAGATTTAAAGCTTTCAAGCAAAACTTATACAACCTAAGTTGTCAGCAGAAAGATCTGGTCACCTTTCATTTAGAACTATTTTGTGTACTTCATCCAATTTAAAATTTTAGAAGTCTCTAGTATCACTAAGTCAGACAATGAACAACATAACTATCTACCTCTTTCCACAAAAAAAGATATTACACTGCAGATTTCAACAGCCAAATAAACCTCCTTATGCCAATCTTTTTATTCTCATTGCTGTCCTCACAAAAAACACCCAAACCTTCTTAATTTTGTTGCTCACCCGAAGTAAGGAAATAGATACCTAAAGAGAAAGTAGCACAACAAAGTAAGTTTATAGAAAAATGATACTATACTGTAAGTGTTGAATTCTTTGCAATGTGGATTTGGCTTACTTAAAGCATACTGTAACACCACACAGGGATTCATCCTATAGAGCCATTTCAAACTTCCCTCATTTATGTACATTCAAGCAAGTATCACTATTTTAGCAGAATATACAAGGCAAGCAAGAAGAGTACTTGCCTCAGTTCCCCATTTAAAACTGGCCTGCTCCAACCGTTAAGTGCAAAGAGCAAGCATCAGTGGCAGACAAAATACAGCTTCTACTAGAGAATACATAGAAGACTATGGAGACAAATCATCCTGGAGAACACACAGGTGAGTGATATATATAGCTACTGAACAAGCTTTATTTATTTAAGGTGAGGTTATATAATATTATAACAAATATGTGTGCAAACTACATCAGCATCTATCTGAGATTAACTGCAGGAAGTTTTGCCATTTCACTGTAGAGCTTAACCCTTATCTAAGATAAAAAGTCACACTTTAGACCCTATAAAAGCTTTATGCATCTATCATCCTCATGAAAGACATAGTATGGAAGCAATTAGTTAAATTACACCTTCTTTCCTTGAAAAAATCTGAAACAAAGTATTTTCAATTTAATGTTGCATTTAAAGCATTTTAAAACAAATATTTCAGTTGTTTGAATATGGATGCATTCTCCTTAAGGGAAGAACGCTTTTGCACGTTAACTGTTAATACATTCAATATGAATAATACAGGTGAAGCAAAAGTCATTATCGTCCCACAGTAGATGGTTAATTTAGAGTAAGTTTAAGACAAGAGGAGCTGCCTAAATGAAATACGTAAACGGATAAAATTACAACACATTTTTATTAGCATGTGTTCTGAACAAAACGGGTACAAGAGTATTCACCTGAGATAAAGCTAGTATTTGAATATTTCTAAGTAGAATGAGTTTTGCTTGAGGAAAGCCACTTGAAGTTTAAAATATACATTTTACTATTATACAATATATGCAGTTTAAGTAATTAAGACTGATGCCAAACATAAAAGTCCTAAAAAAAGAAATCACAGTGTGTATCAATATTATTAGTTACAAAATGTATGCTACTTTTTTAATTTAACTTTTTTAAAAATTATAATGATTACAAATTTTAACCTATTCTTCTAAAAGTGATCTGAGTACAAGCTTCAAGTAGCAATGAACCAAAGCATAAGAATTAGCTTCTTACAATTTAAATATATACATACTCACTGATTGAGAAAAGAATCAAGCTTTGGAAAAAAAAAATACAAAACTGATTACTTTTGCTTGCACTGGTTAAAATAATGAACTAGTCTAATCTAATTCCAAAATGAAATGAAAATGAAATGAGCAGTTTCCTGACTGTGTTATGAAAAAACTTAACATTGAACTTCACTTAAGACTAATTTAACAGCAATTTTGAACTGCCAAAAAGATGCATTTATAAGGATTTTGAATACACTTTCTGTTACCAACTTAGGTTGATCAGCAGCTTTTTTTCACTCTCAGAATCCTTCAAAAAGGGAAACTCAAAACAGGAAAAAGGCATATATAAAAAACAGTAAACACTGACCTCCTGAGGTTCCTACAACAAAATTATTCAAGTAGAAAAACTACACCATTACGTAGCAGCGGCTATTTCTGTAGTTTAGCACACTAACAGCACTTTTTCAGTGTGTAAGGAGCAAATGAAGTAAGCCGTGCTTTTAGCATGCCAAGAGGCAAACACTGGAATGTAACAAAGACAAACTCACAATTCTACCAGTATAAACATTCAGTCAACATTCATGAACTGTCAAGACTACACCACAAGAATTAAGATGCTTTTTATATATCCCATGATGCAATAATTCAGTTTTAAACATTAATGCTGTTTCAGAACTTCTCTTACCTCACATTCCACTAAAAGGCTTCTGCAAATCTCTGGGCTATATTATGCATTAGGAATGTGGTTTATTTGCTTTAAAATACACCACGACAGAACTTACTGATACAAAAGACTACTTTGTTTATTCCTGTACTGGTTATTCCTGCTCTTTTAAATTATTTTCCTTGCTGTCATACCAGATCAGTTCACATTTGTACAAATATGTATTAAAACAAATATGTACAAAAGTGGCATCCTAAGATAATCCAGGGTGAGGTGGATTGGTTTTATTTGGCTAAAGGGGCTTTCTAAAATTTAAGTTAAACCCAGATTTTAGTTGTTATGCTACTATATTTTTTGGGTAGGTTTTCTATTCTACAAACTTTTTAATGTCATTTCTCTGTAACTCTTCCTTAATGTTCAAACACACTTAAAATTAAAGCAAGTTTGGGTCTAAAATAATACCCCACCTTGCTAAACATTGGGCTTGGGATATTCCCTTTCAAAATTAAAGTTTTTATTGAATTTTACTGATTTATATCAGAGTTATTAGTTGAGAAAGTATTTTTGATCTGCTATCAAAGTAATGTAACTTGAAAGCAAGTTATCACATGCAATTTTGATCAAATTCAGTAAATACTGAATGTACTGGCATTATCAAACCTATTTCATACAGTACATGTCCAAAGTAGCTTCAGGCATAATCCACTAAAATTTGCAAAGCCAAAAAAAACAAGGAGGGGGAACATAAAACATGCATGTGATCATGCACTGAAGGAAAAAAAAAGTCTACACTCTTTAAACAGCATTTGTAAGTTCACACTCACACAGCTCAAACTTCAGTGCAATGGCTAAATCATTCAACAGTCAAAGAACAGAACCATGCGAAGAAGAGCAAGTTCTTAAAAAAGCCCCAAACAAAAAAAAAACCCAAAATAACTCAAACCAAACAAGAACAAAACCAAACCAAACAAAAAAACCAAAAAATACCCCTAAAAACCCAAACCAAATTAAAAAAAACAAAAACAAAAAATCCCACAACCCCCAAAGACCCCCTTAAATACCCCCCCCAAAAAAAACAACCAAAGGAGAAAAAAAAAACCAAAAAGAAAAAAAAAAAAACAAACCAGAAAACACCAGTTAAACCAAAAACTGTTATCCAGTATCCATTCTGCAATGCAAAGGTGAGAAACTAAATCTACAAAAAGGCTGTTATGGCTTAATTTCGTTTTGCAGATTAATAATGCAGCAATTGAAAAATGGAAAGGTGTGGCTTCACCTCTGACCAGCAGAGTTAAAAATCTCTCCATTTTCCTTTATCATCATGGGATACTCTTTAGGCAATCTAAATTAAGAAAGACTTGCCACTTCCAGATGGACACAAGATCAAGTGTACCAGTTACGATTTCACATTCACAGTACATAAGAAAATACACATGGAAGGAAAAGTAAAGAGTTAACTTAACAAGGATTTATTCACAGGAATACATGTAAGTAGAGAAAAAAAACCACAACAGAAAAGCTAAACAAATGAAATGAAGAGGATCCAAACCAACTTTCACTCTGTAGCTTTAAACTTGCACCCTTGTGCATATAATTACATCACAAAGGGCCACCAACATGCGCCGATACAGTGTAGATACCCTGCATTACATCCATTAACTTAAAACATCTCTTTAAGATCATGCTTTGAACAAAAAGAAAGCATAGAAGGTAATACGTTGAGTGGGAATAAACACAAATATAGCAATCTTGTCATCAACTTCTACAATTGTCTTTACGTGCCAACTAACATTTATGCAGCCTTTAACGGGTCTTACCATGTAACTCATTTTAGAGATTCTGATAAAATCACTAGTATATAACCATGCAGAAAGCACATCACACTGACAGCACAGAGGCAAATATTTTGCACAGCTATATCAGCTTTCCACATTGTGCAGGTTACACACAATACAATATCAATCTTATTCTTAACAGATCCTAAAAAGGTATTTCAAGGCCTAATTGTTAACTACAGTACTTTATATCTATATTCTTAATAAAAATAAATTCCACTGAATCTTAAAAACGAATTTTAAATGCAGGGCTATATTGAATTGGTAAACTGCAACACAAAACTGGCGCAACATAGGTAAATGTATACCAATTTCACTCTATTTGATGCAAGCATGCTACTTTCCCACTAATTAAAATTACTTCTGATCACTATGAGCCAGAACGCATGCCTGAACCTTAAACTGCAAGTTAAGAATAATTCCTTACTCTAGAAATCAAAACTAACAAAGTACAATAATAAAATCATATCCACTACCTTGGTTGTTTTTCTTAATGCAAAAATTAAGATGTCAATCTTTCCTTTGCAGTGTCCCTCTCCTTACCCCAAAAATGAAAGGAGTGACTTGTTTGGCAGCTTGCAGGTTGCTTCATTTTGTCCAAGTTAACCTTTATTATTTTACGATGGGGTTTCTATACTGTACACCACAAGTGCCTGTTCCTAATACAGACACAAGCTGCATTTTAACTGTACTAACTTTGTTTGTGTAGTTCTTCATTAACATGCAAATACCTAGGAATCCCATCAAGCAGGATGAAATAATGTAGAAAACCCTTACTTAAAAAAAACAGAAAACAAAAAAGAAAGCCTTTTACTGTTTGTGACCCCCATTCTTAGGTTTCCTTTATTGTGCGCAAAATATTTTTCCTCTTTACGTATCCCTATAGTTCAATTATATGGTTTCTTATTTTGGTACAAATCCCCACAATATTCCAGAATGTGCTGTTTTGTGACTAGATTCTTTTTTTTTTTCTTCTTCACATCCAGTGCAGAGGTGTAATAGGAGACAGATTTCCACCCACAAAGGCTCCAGATGTTAAAACATTTCCCAACATCGACTTAATACAGTGACGGCAACACCTCCCTCCCGCCCCTCCCAGTAGGGTTGGGATTGTACTGTATTCCCTACTGGTTTACCCTTCCCCCCAGTAAAGGGTAACATTTTCCCTGGGTGCAGAGGCTCCCTCATAGTCTCCCAGACTGAAGGACCTGTAAAAGGAAAACATAACAGTGTAATTAAATCTTACCTTGAACCTCTGGCAGATAGGTACATAAACAAAGAGTCTTTTTTAAGCACTAAGTGCCAACCTCTAACTTAGAAATGGATTTATGCCTAATGTTCCCTTCTAAGTCTGTTAAGAAACCAGCCCATGTGTATCAGATAAATTATTATTCATGAAACAATAAATGCTTTGAAGCTACATTGACAGTTCCACTATTGTGCTAAACTCAGACCGAAGATAAAAGCAGCCCTATGTATTCTAACCAGTTTTCCTATTTTTAACACAAAATTATGAGGCAGTATGACATTGAGAAAGAATATTAAACATATATGCAACTGACCTAGCAACTTCCCTTTTGAGTGGATTAAATAAGATAGCCATAGCTTCTCTGCAGTTGAAGCTAAGAACAATGGCAGATTTTTTCACTTTGGTTTCCTTTTCATCAGGAAACCCTTATGTCAGAACTGAAATGCCCTCTTTGATAAGTATGTAGCTGTTTTATTTTTAATCCATTGTTCTGATCAAACATGTAATGCAAATAGGATGTTTTGTGACACTGACTTTGAAAAAATCTTAGGCTAACTTTTAAATAGCTGTCTGTTCCAACACTAAACAGAACAGCATGACACACTCTCATAATTTCAGTATAAAAATTCTACTAGAATTATCAAATTTGTATAAAAACTAAAAGAATAAACTAATTCACTCTCTTTTTTGGGTAATAAAATAATCTCTTCACAGTATCACACATGGGAAATTTGCTCTATACAGCATACACGTGGCATACAAAGCAAGGTGGTGTAATAACAGAGCTAGTCTGGAATGCATTTTCACTCTTCTTTGTCAAAGCTGAATCATTCTCCACACAGAAGTGTCTAACAATTCTGAGCTGACACAAGAAATGGAACATGGCAATAATAAATATATCAGCCTTCCCCAAACATCAAGCTTTAAAATTACTACAGTTACTGTAGTTACTAACATAGCATTCTTTATTCAGAGGAAAGATAATTTATTATGTAGTTAGGCAATTAGACTTCTCATAGCTACTGTGTTAACAAACCTGCTCTTTTATCCTAGAAGAGCATTCCCACTTAGACCACATCTGCCATCTATTAATTCATAATATGTAAGGTAGCCTGTGTCTTTAGTACGATGACTTGAGGATCATATTCATCACTCTGTCTATTAAGCTTGAACAAGCACTATGCTATACCTACACTTTTAACTTTCTTGATAAACTAATGTGTGTATCATGGACTCAGTTTTTCTTTCTCTCTCTCTCTGTAACAATAAAAAAAATCAGACAAATGCTTTTGCTACAGTCACCATTTAGGTACACTATCATCCCTTCTTTCTTTCCTTCATATAGGAAGGAAAGACAGCTCCTCCAGTGTAGGTCAGCAATTCTAGACTGATGAATTATTTATGTTTCATATGATGCAAACAGGGAGGAAGTCCCAGCTCTCTTTGGCAAGCAAAGACTCATGTGCTTACCTCTAATTATGGGACTGCAGCTACAGTGCATGAGGTTAAACTCCATAGTAAGCTGCAAGGCGCTCTTTTAAGGGAAGAGGAAACTGGTCAGAGAAACGCCTCCAATTCTCATCCCCAACTTGATTTTTAAATCCATGAAGAATCTAAAAATGAGAAAGGGTAAGTCAAAATAAGCAAAAACCAGAGGGTACATTCTTTACCAGCCTCATATGCAGTAAGCCACAAACTGTTGAGTTGTGCATCTGGCAATTCGAATTCTGCAGTATCATACTAAAATGCTACAAAGAAGCAAAGGAAGTAGAAGAAGGTCCTTCTTAATGTGTTTCTTTAAAGGTGACATAAAGAATATAGCTACCCACAGAAATTAGTGTATATATACATATTTATATATTTTTAATAGGTAACTTAAAACGTAATGTTAAGCCATTTCAGAACGTTTATTTTTATTTTTTTTCAATTCATTTTTCATCCATCCATCCATCCATCCATCCATCCATCCATCCATCCACCCAGTTAATGTATTTTAAGACTACTGTGACACATTTATTTTTTAAGAAATGTGAAGTATATTCTGGGAAGTTGAGTTAAATGGCAGCCAGTTTTAGATAGAATGAATACCTGTCAATTTCTAGCACAAATATAAAATCTTTGAGAACTCCATTTTCTGCACAGAACCTGTAAGACAACTTCACTAGAAATGAAGCTCTTAAAATCTTCTTTGTTTTGAAAGAACAGGGATCTGCAGTCAATGGCAATCAAAAGCCAGTGAAAGAGGAAAACAAATAATCTACAGATTTCAGTCTGAATCTTCTGATGAAATAAACGAACTAAACATGAAATTACACTATCAGAAAAAATCTTAGTATGTTATTTCTTAAAGCAGCAAATACAAGACAAACATCAGAAATTACAAAAGCAGACAAAATTACTGTCCTTCATAGAAAATTATACCAAAAAAATATAAAGTTTGGTTTTCCCTTTTTACACTCAATGTAACTGAATTCTGGAACAGTGTGTCATGAAGACATCCTCAAATAAAAGGCAACATCAAAATTCAAGCTCATGGTAACAAGTTCACGCTCAACACAAGACTGCCAAGCAGTTTTTAAACAAGATGAAGTGGTAATGACATTACATGTACCACTTAACTTGCTGCTTTTCTCCCTCCCACAAGGATTCTTTCCTAAACCCGAAGAGTCACATTAACCAGCTGCTAAGAAACTACTGAAAATCTAAGAATGCTCAGGTATGACAAAAGGTTATGAGTCAGATTTTAACACTGGCAGCTCATCTATCCTTGCTCTTAGAAGTATTTTCTCTTCCAGTTCTAGTACTAAGGAATAAATTTAAAAAACAAACTAACCAAAACCTGGACAAATCCACTTTCTTTCCCTTGTTCCTGAAAGTCATAATTACTGTTGGAAAAACATCTAACTGGACTACAGCAATCACATATTCATGAAGAAGTAGTCTAAAAACCCTGCATGCAAGCACTGAAGAAAGCTTTGTCTCTTTTCCTGCAAGGCAAAACCCACAAAACCATTTTAAAATTTCTTAAGAAAGCAAGGATGTCCTTATGCCAAGTGACCAAGAACCACTCTGTTCAGTTTGAATGCATTGTATCCTAAACGGGTAACTTGGAAAGAATCTGAAAAAGAGAGGTTTAACATGCTGAAGGACCAGTGTAAAAACATGCAGTGAGACTGCTTTGGACAATCATTGCAGATTCAATCAAGGCCCTCCTTTTTAAGTTGTAATTGATGTTTCATTCTGCTGATATTAGAATACTCATAGCCGTGCCTTCTCCAGATCTAATTGGAAGCACACCAGTTACCTGAGGTTAACTAGGACACTAGGACAGTGAGATTTCTGTCTTTGCTCTTAAAGATGGGATAGAAAAGTTCTAGCTTCTGATTTGATGCCCACACATATCACTAATGGAAGAGTAAGTGCCAATACCAATTCAGGATCCTAATAAGTACTAAAGAATATGCCGTATTTTTGCTTGATAAATATCATGAACCTTATTTCTGACACAGAACTTCCTAAAAATGAGGATTTCACTTTAGAACTTGTGAGGTGAACCATTTCTCCCTCGTTTTTTCATTTAAGACACTAGTATCAAAATACAATGTATGGCATTCTGGTGCAGCCTTTTGGCTTTTACTACTTAATACAAGGTAAAAACTTTTCAATTTCAAAACTCAGACTTTTAAATAAAAGTTAAATAAATAAAAGTTTAAACTTTTGTTTAAATTCTACTGACACTTTGTCTAGGGATGTATTCTTGGGGCATGTTAGTTTCTTGAAATTTACTCAACCAAGAGGTATTCTGAGAATTAAGCAATCTCTTATTTTCAGCAGGAGTTAGGAGAAACAAGTAAGATACCACTGGGATATTTTTAATCTGAAACTTTTGTATGTCTCCAAAATAAAGTAGCCAACTTTGTGGCAAAGAATAGCCTTCAACTATACAAATCTTGTTTTCTGAAAAAAAGTCTTACATGTAGTATAAACTCCACTGTTCTTCCAAATGCAGGAAAAACATAGTAGGCTGGACATTATGAAAAGCTGTTTGAGGATCATTATCCCTTCAAAAAACACCTCAAGTGAACCTTGCAACTACTTACAAGAGTTTGGAATAATCCAAATGCATATAAGAAGATATAGGTTATAAAATGAAGTCAGGATATTCATGTTGCTTTTTCTGACATTTTATGACCTTGCATGAACCATGGAGGGCAGAGAAACCTCCATGACCACAGAGTAAGTGCTAGCAGTGAAACAGAAAGAAAGAAACGAGAGGATGTAAAACAACCACCACTAGAATATACTGTTATCTTGGCAACCTTACCTTACAGAACATGTCTCGAAGATCATCTTTTGGGCTAATCCACGATGCAACAGCATCACAAAAAAAAATAAAGTCCTACAAGATTAAATAATCATATAGGTTAGAAACCTCAATTTATACATCTGAAAACAACACTTGATGTTCATTCTGTGAACATCACAGATGGTCTTTGATCCTAATTCACAACTGCTCTTGCCTTTATGTATTTATTTTCCAGTTAATTCAGACAATGGTAAATTATTGTATTTGTATGAAATAATATGTATTATTGTATGAAATTGCTGAGTGTCTTAAACTAAACTACAGTGTAACCAACCCTAACTCTCCCCTCTGCACCATACTAGTATAATTTTAATTCTTTCAATACACGTACAAATGCAAGATCTACTTACTTTAGTCACAAGCAACAAATGCATCTCTCACACATTTCCATTTAGGGAAAAAAAGCTGTTTTATTTCTTTAAGTAGGTTTTTTCTGGGACATAGAAAACATTTATCATACAGGTTCAAAACTAAAGCCACCTCAAAATCCCTCTACTCCAGACATCTGCTGTTATGCTTTACCTCCTCCTACACCAATAGAACACCAGTCTCCAAAAATAATGTTGCTAGTGCACATAATAGGAGCTGGGGATGATGACTAGAGAGGAGGGGTGAGTTAATGAAAGGAGTCCTTATTTAACCCCTCTCTGTAACCTACATGAATGAACAGACAGTAGAAGACTGAAATGTAAAGTACAGAATAAGACTAAATGAAAATAACTGAAAATTTCAAAGCAAGGTAAACATTCAATTTTTGTGAAGAAGAATTCCAGAAAGAGGAAAGGGAAAGATCGGTTTTATTTTCCTCTTAGGAAATATTACATTGATACAGCTTTACTTTAGAGGTGTGGAGACTAAAGATCAAGTCATATTCTATTCTTCAGTTGTACCATTTATCTTAAAGAGATTCTTGTTCATTGTTCCATTGACTATTTGAAAAAATTACCCTAAGTTGAAACAGAATCTTCCCTACTCAAGTGTTAAGAACGAAGGGGTGGCTACTTGTTCTGTTTCTTGTTTTGAAAATCTAGGTTACATCTGGAAAATGGGTTTAAGAACATCAATTTTTACCTTATATTTGCATACAGATCCTGATCACAACCTGTCAGAAGTCTCAAAATACAGTTATTATAATCGAAGTTCATTGTTTACACAGTCATTGCCAGTAAAAAACAAAAACTGATTTTAACAATAATTCTCCCCTTCAGACAAACACTGAAGCATCTTGATATGGATCAATGACAATATAAACATTTTGGGCTCCTTGACCTTAAAATAAAGCTACATCATGTACTGCAGGGAATCTCTTCAAGGTAAACTTTTTCATATTCCACACATAGCTTTCACTAGGTTTCACATGCGTAAAGAAAAATTAGCATCTATTAATGTATCTTACTTGGACTACTCCACTGGGGTTGACTGTAATCATGGTACATATCCCACGGAATGCTGAATCCTTTTCCTCATTGTCTCTTATGTTTCGCAGAGAGGTACACCTAACGAATTGGAAAGGAAAACTTAGATAACTCTATTACTTTTCTTCAATCAAGTCAAAACTAGATGACAGTATCTGATGGAATAAGTCACACTGATAAGACAATCTGAAACACAATTATGAACACTTAGAAAAATACTTGTTGCACACAGTTTTTACTAGCATAATCCCATTAGGCATCACCTCCAGAATCTGGCTTTTTTGTTACACTGCAGTCAGAAAGTGTGACCTCTATTCCATTAAATACAAAAGAAACATGTATCTGAAATACTTATATAAACTATCATTATTGGAAGCGGAACAGAAAATACTGTCACAGTATGAATTATGTCAGATACCACTTACAGAACAGTTATTGAACTTTAACAGCAGCAAGCAAGCTATTTTATACGTTACAAATCTATAAACATATATTCCTTAACAGCATTTCAAGCCTCAGACTGAATTTTAGGTAATGCACAGTTTAAATTTTACAATATTTGCATGCATTGTATTATCATTCTGGTGGATTTTAAAATGCTCTTTCATAGTCAAGCTTTAACACAGCAAGCATGTGACAATCTTATCCCATGCATAAATTAGTCGTTAGCCACAACATAAAGAATACATGACGGCGCTACTAAAAACTCACAAACCTGATAGGACAAGATTAGTCACATGGTTGGCAATGATTAAGGATTGAGATTTTGTAACCAACTGAAAATATATCTAAAAGTGAGATAGAGAGAAGAAAGAAAGAAAGAAAGAAAGAGAGTGAAGAAAAATGAATTAAAAAAAAAGATTGAATAATACACACCAGGGTCTTATAAACTGCTGTAGCATGGGGGCCACCTCTTGAGGACAAACGTAACCAAGACGACCAATTGTTATTGCTAAGGTAACGCAATCACGGTTATACACCACCAAACGCCAACCAAGACATGAGCAAATGAGGGGGAAGGAGAAAAAATAAAGAAAAAACAACAAATAACTCAGAAACAGAAACCAACAGAATCTGTGTATGATAATAAACATAAGATTTCACCAGTGCTGTTTATTACCACCCCCTAAATAAGAGGCAGCAACATATATGGTATACTCTCCAAGGTAAAAGAAAAATTAAAGAAGTATGAGAGAACACCAAAAACACAATTTTAAATCCAAAGGCGTTCTGATGTAAGCTATGATTCTGTCCCTCTTTAGAGTAATCATTTGCAGTAAATTTACCTCTACACATTCAACGTTTTTACTGAAATGTACTATTAATGAATATTGTTTAAAAAGGAAGTTAATAATTTTCAGTTTTAGTATCATGTTTTACTTTATCCAATATTTAGAATTCAAGGTTTTTACAGACCTAATATATCAATAAAAATACGTTTCCAAATACTTTTACATAGAATATATTGTGGTCTGTCTGAAAATCCTAAATAGACGGAACACTTCTCAAAGAGTAAAAAATGTTTGTCTTTTTCATAATCTCACAGAGAATTTAATTAAAAATGGTTGCCAACTCAAAGCAACTGACTGCAGAACATTAATTCTTTAATCCTTGTTTTTCTCCTGCTCACAGAAGTTTTCCTTATAAGACATACAAGAATCTGACTTCTCATACCAAAGCATAAGGACACGTGAAAAGCAAAATTGTTTTACCACATGATTAGGTATTTTTGTTCTTTCTTCTAAGGGATAGATCAAAGAAAGTATCATTATGCAAATGTGTTTTAATGGTGTTTGCTCAACTCACGAAAGATTAATCTTTAGAAAAAGGAGAGGGTGGGGAATAATGTATCAGAATTACTTGAAGCAAAATACATGAATAATACTAAAATCCAGCAGATTTGTATGAAGCAGAAAAAGGAAACCTATGTTCAAGGGACATACTATGCAACACTCTAATTAACAGGCATTTGTGAACAGTTTCATGAAACATGCAATAAAGCAGATGATGCTTTCTCAAATAAAAGTTTGGTGTAGGATATACTAGCAGCCTGAAACATTAATTCCATGTGATGCAATTCACTGTTAATGTAGTGATGTTACTCAATTTCCACATACAGTGTATAAATTTTTTTAGTATTTTACAAAACTTCACTGAAGTCAAATAAAAATACAATTTTAAGTTTAATCTGTAAATTCTTACAGCGACAGCCTGAACAGGGAATAGAAATCTCTGTCAAAGTCTTGTGTCAAAGTTGTTTTCACAACTGTTTTCATAATTAATTACACAGAAAGCTACTGCAAAACCAGTAATATTCTTGCACATACTAGTGGTACACAACAAAATATCCCACAACAAACTTATAATAAGTACACCACACTCAACATTTATTTGCAGTTATCCATCCACATTTAAAATAACTACTAAGAGAATTAAAAAAAAAAAAAAAAACCACAAAAAACTGTGTTCAGATGCTTCCAAAAATTCTCTTAACAATGATGGAAGCATACATTTAACTATTGGATGCCTCTCAGTTACAGGTATTACACAACTATCAGTGCAGAGGAGGGGAGTCAGGGCAGGGACAAGGAAAACTTAGATTGTTATAGTATTATATTGTTATACTATTCCACGGTATATTTCACAACTAGGTATTCGATTCAAAATTTTCTTTTCAAAAAGTAGCACCTATAATATGCTGTAAAACTAAGTAAATTTTCCTTCAGGTTCACCTTCCATACTAAATAGGATAGAGGGGCAGAGAAAGTGCAGCTTTTAAGTTTAGAAAATGCTGAAGGAAAAATATACTTTGCAAAAAAACTCTCTCCAAATTATCTCTTGCTTTACTCAGAAAGTGTAAGTGTACCATTGTATTTGCACCATATTCAATCATTTCAGATATAGCAATGAAACTGTCATTTTCTTACAAGACCATTTTCAAACAGAAGAAAAAAAAAAATCCTCAATTAGAAAAATAGTAAATAATAAACCCATCACCTATAAAACAATAAACTCATATCATCTATATATTTTTTGCTCTAGTATGGAAGGTGCTTTTCATACCAGAACATGCCCTCTATAAATGCAAAAGAAACAAGCCTCAGAAATTCCAATTCAGTAAGGCAATTGGGAATCACTCCCAATTTGGAATGCAAAGCCAGAACATAACATATGAATCCCATTATTAGAATTGTTTTCAAGAATTTGTTATTACATGACCAGGTAACAGAAATTAAACATAATTTCAGTTACATTGTGGTAAAACTGCCATCACAGATCTAGATTTTTGTGTGTGATATTTTAAGTTTGTCTTTCAAAAAATGTACTTTTAAGTAAATTCAACTCATTGTTTTATATATGCCAATTACACTTTTTTCCAACAGTAGACATATATATACAGTACACGTGTAAGGACACGCACACATCAAAATCAGTGAGAAAGTAAGTCCTAAGTGTTACTGCATACATTTGTCGTATTTAATACACAAATAAAACCAGAAGCATTATTAAACAGATGATAAACAGATATAACAAATGTTATAAAAAGAGAAAGCAATTAGAATCTAGATATATGATTTGCTGCAAGACTGAGACTTGTAAGAGCTTGTGCAAAACAGAGTTGCTTTTGCTTATAAAAGCCAAGTACATAAAAAAATCAGTTCTGGTGTGGTTCCCCTATACAAATTCAAAAAATAATTATTAAAAAAATTCTTCTAATTCCCTTCACCATGTACAGGTTATTTTTTGGGTACCTGTGTTCTCTAACAACGTCTTTGGTGTGTTGGGTCTGTTTATTATTTCTACAAGCTGGTGCAAGACCATTGGAATATAAGGCTGCATTTCTATACCTGAAACAACAATTAAAAAAAAATAATCAGAAGAAAATGACCATTAATATACATAATGTAAACAGAACACGCACTTAACTTACTAACAAGGACAAGGATCACAAATGTTATTTAAATAATAACATAAAGGTATCACTTTAAAAAAAATCACCCAAAATACCCAGACAAATAATTCTAAATGTGCAGAAATTTAAAGAAAAAACTAAATCTTACCCATCTGGATAGAGATTTCTCCAATTGCCCAGGTGGCATTGTTACACACAGAAATGAATTCAGGATTTAGGTTGGTTCCCAAAATTGGCATGAAATCAGCTAGAAAGAATAATATTTTAAAATCTCATCACACAATACAACCATCTTGTCCCATTACTTTAGGATTGTAAGGGGGGAAAAAAAGGGATACTTAAGAAAAAGAAAATGTAAGCCTATTTAAATACTTGGAAAGTATTACATTTGAATTAACAAGAGCTATATTCCAGCTCAATATTATATCAGATTAACCTAAGGAATTTAGAACCTAAGCAGATAAATGCAAATATTTTCAAATTATGCTTTTCAAACCTTCCTAACAGGGTTTATCTTCATGTAACTTTCATGTAGAAATCTTCTCTCCTTCCCTTGCTTAGGTGAGAGGAGAGGAAGAGAAGGAAAAAACCACAGCTGCAAGTACTATTGGTTTTATCATATGATTTAACATACCCCAAATCAACTGAATAACCATATATTAAGCTGCCCTTGAAAAAACAACAAAGACTAGAAGACAATCACATCTTTAATTAAATTTTAAGAAAAGTGAGTCAAAAAGGTCATTATAACATCTGCCAAATTAATTTGGTAAGTGTATCTCAAAAGTGTCTGTGGGAAAAAAGAGCAAATATTGTGGAAGTGTATCACTGATGCTACTTCCCACACAAATAAAAAACAAAACAGAAAACCAAGTAAAAGCTATTCTCTAGACCTTTTTTGATTTATGTATTATATCTATTTTCACTTAACAATAAATTCTAGCACAACAAAATGAGCTATAAAAATAAAGAAAAATGAACTTTTGCACTGTCCACAAAAATAGGAGCATGTTTTCTTAACATACAATTCAAGGGACAAAAGACTACAGATTCTTGTTACTAAAGGAAAATTACTATGTACAATACCATAAAAAGGCAACCCACAGAACAGAGAGCATAACAATGGCTAATACAACCTCTTAGACATTTGCAAAACAAGTTATTAAACGTGTAAAAGAAACCTACCGATGCAAGGTTTGACATGCTGAAAACATGCCTTTGTCAGGTCACCTAACAATGCAAAAGAACTCTGCCGTACCTCAGGCATTTTGTCCTAAAGAGAGGAAGAAAAAAATTACAATTCTAGAAGAGTTTCTGATTTTCTGAATAAAAATAATGTGTGGATCAAATAGCTTACTCATCTCACCTGCATGCATTGATACATTAGTGTCAGGATATTGCTGCGAGCCACTAGCTGTTCAATGTTGCCTCCAAGTCCTTCAGCTAAACCACTGAGTAAATCAAGAGCCACAATCATAAAATCTTTATCTGGAGCCTCATATTGGTCTGGCTGAGCATTATGCAACTGCAACAAATAAGTACACATTTTCAAAATTACACCAGATTTTCTCAGGAATATACATAAAAAAGTTGCAGAGCTGCACCTTCATTTAGCTATTCAATTTCCCCATACACCTCTAATTTTACATAGTTAACACTTTGGTTCAGTGAAGTAACTTTGGAATAGTTATAGCAAAATACCATGGCTTGTGCAAGCGTCTTCTGCACCAGATTTACACAACGCTGGTACACAGGTTCACAGTATGGAAGAAAGCCAGATTGCAAGGCAGTAGCAACTGACGACAGGCACTGGAATTTAAAAAAAAAGAGGAGAAAGAAAGCAGTCACTACTTGTCCTCACATCTCTGAAGAGTCTTTTACTTGGGAGAGGCAATTTGGAAGATATTAGGATTTTAAGTACACCAACATGTAACTGGTTAAGTAAATACAAACATAGAAAGGCAGTACCAATTTAGCTGAGCCAAGGCAACTATCAGCAAGTTGTTACTCACTCCTGTGTAAAACAGTTGAGAAAATTTCTCAGCAGCAGCATCTTCATAGAGGTAGCCAAGAAAATGCATACAAAACCAGTTACAATAATTCAGACAGCACTTACACTAAGCTGCAGTATCTTGGCCATGAACAAGCCCTTATATAACCTAAGAGTTACAAAACTAATTTTTCTAGAGGTGTTTTCCTCTAGAGGTGCTTCACACTCAGCAAGTACAGAGCATTAGACTACATGGCCTGGTTCATACCTTCAGCTTGTCTGACAATAGTTTTAATGGAGGGATGAAGGGAGAGCAAGGAGAGAGAAGACAAGAATAAAAGGAGGATAAAACCCTTTTTTTTCTAAAATAATCCTATCAAACAAAACCAAAATGGCAGAAAAAATCTAAAGGATTTCTGCTCAACCTAAGGACATTAATTCAGTCATAAAATTTTCTTACAACAGTCAGAATAATTTTTCTCCAATGGAAAACAGCTAAAACTATATAGTTTTTATAGTCATATTTCCTAGGAGGAACACCTTCAGTAAAAAACATAATTTCTAAAATAAGCTGATAAAAAATATTCACATTTTAATATTTACCTCTAATAAAGGGAAAAGATCTTTATCTTCATCCTTCAGCATGTTCCACTTCTGGATTAATGGAGGCATTAGCATCTGAATATATTCCTGTTTAGGATGAAAATGCATCAGCTGCTAGAACACTTTACTGCATACCACTTTATTTTAAAGTTAAAAAAGAACTGAGATATATTCTACTTTTTCCAAAAAAGGAACAAACAGGTGTACTGTAATTAAATTAATTGCTGTAATTCATAGAAATATTTTAGTACTAGAATTCAAAATTTGTGTTTGATATTTTTTTCCTAATGCACATAAAGTACCTTTACAGAGGGAATTTCCTCCTGCAGGTGTGGTTTCAGTATAGCTGCCTGGGTTATCTATCTGACTGCCACAAGGCATATAGAAAGCATTTTTATATTTACATTGTGGCTCCACATCTGCCACCTGCTTTTCTCAACCATCTTCTACTGCCCTGATGCTACAACCCTATCTCCACGACCACAAGTTCTGAAATATCTTCCTCAAACTAACCATGAAGAAAGTAATTTCCTATCCCTCCAGAAGGAGGCACTTAGCCCTCCTATATAAAGCTGGCTTCCTTGGCACTGCGCAGCCACAGTCATAAAGACATTAAGCAAGACACCTCAAGAATGCTCACAGAAGGTACCCAAAGAGCCAAGAGATTTTTCTATGTCCAAAGGTACAAAATTCTAACCAACTAAACAAAGTCCCACACTCATGAGGAGCTGCCATTTAGCTTCCTCCTGGTACTGTCAAATGTCAGGGTGGCCAGGCTCAGACAGAGACTGAAAAACAGGTCCTTTGATGATGTGGGGTCCAGAGGGCAAGTAATGCCCATGGAAACCATGGAAAAAACTAAAAATGTTTTTTTCTAGGGCATCTATGTCATTTGAAGCGCTACAGAGAAATAAAACAAGTTTCAATAACTGTCGTAAGATGCAAACATATGACAAGTACATCTACTAATTAATACATGTACACTACATGTAAAAAAAACCCCACCACATTTCCCTGTGTTATCTGTGCTTTATCCAAAGGGGTATCTACACTGATATCTCCTCTGAGCTAAAAAACTTGAAGCATGAAGACCATGATGAACAGCATATTTCACAACACACCACACTTTTGCTTGTTTACTCAAAATGGCAAATATCTGTGTAGTGGGAAAATTATGTGCAGTCTATGTATTTTATCTATAAGCATGTAGCACTAATACAAGGAACACAGAAATATCAGCATTTCTGGTTTATAACGTAAAGTGTAGTACAAAAAACACTGAAAAAGTTTTTTGAATATGGCAAGTCCTACAGAACATTAGGTATACTCACTGGTTTATTTAGATGATGTCCTACAGAATCTGCTAGGGTTCCTATAGCATCATAAAGAATGAGCAGGTTTTTATGCTGGTATTTACTAAATGCGAAGACCAAAGTGTCAAGTATATATGCAAGATAAGGAACAAGCTCTGTACAAGCCTCCTCTTCTAGAGTAGCAAAGGCACTAAAGGACAATAAAACAGGTTAGTACCTTGGAAATAATGAAAAAAGACTACCCCAAAATGTCCTACTTAAAATGCCATTTCTGTTTAAACATAAAGCTGTATTGAAGTCCTCAAATTCATGTAAAATATTCTTCCAAAAAGGTAATACTTAAATAACTTTGATCTTTTTTTGACTGAACACACAATCACCCATGAGGATCCAGCTCTTCCACTGTCAAGAACAAAATTTTAAATATTGCCATAAAACTCATCGGATACACAGAAGCCCCCACTAAAAAGAAAAGCATTAGCAGAAAAGTTTATTTTATACTAGCTAAAATAGAAAACACCACAACAAAAGCTGATTATTTAAGTTAAAAATGGACCACTGTCTTTAATGTACACAGTAGCTGCACCCATAGATTTTGGTGCTGCTGTGCCAGTAAATGCAAACGTTACCCTGTACCCTAAGCTGTTCACTGCATAGAAAAAGATACAGAAAGACATGGAAAACTAAAAGCAAATATAGAGGATGAATAGTTTTAGCTGCTTGTGGTCAAAGCACACATCATGACATAATGGAAACTTTTCAGTTTGTCTATCCAGTGTTTCAACAGCAGCTTTAAGAAAACCCATCCAAAATGAAACAAAACCAAAACCAGCCCCTCACACCAGAGACACTACTTCAAAGAAACATAAAGGAAAGAGAAAAAATTATGGAGTTATTGAAGATTTACTGGCCTAGCTTTGTCAATAAGATTATTATCAGCTTGTCTCTGCACTAAAAATGCATGCGTCACTGCATGAAGTGAACAATCCACTGTGTGCTACCAAATACAGAAACACAGTTTTTTTAACACAAGAGGACTGGGAACTCTAAAAGGCTAGCATTCTTACTTAATTTATTTAATTATTTATTTTTATTTTATTATGAAGTATTCTTTCAGAAAGGCATACAACTTGAGCAGGAAAGCATTTCAATAAAATATCATTCTGTGTGTCACCAACTAAAGCAGCAGCTTCTTGAAAGTACAGAAGTGAATGTTAGACATCTGCTACCATAACAGACATTATGTTACATAAAAACATCCTGTGGCCAATCTTCAATTCGGTAAACATAAATAATGTATGCAACTATTCAGTGTTGGGATGAAGCTCTTTGTTGTTGTCCAAAAAGGTTCACTTTATTTCCTTACAATTTAAAAAGCTAGTAAATATGTTTTGACTCGTAACAACTCTACATTTTCCTTACAGTGATGTTTCCCAGTTTATTTTTAGCTGCAATAGTAAGTTTAGTGAATCTCTGCTCTAAAGAAAGTACCTCGAAACAAGAGTATGTCTGATACTGGACTTATAATAATAAAAAAAAAATCAGGTGTACTGTAATTTTTAATACTTCCTTTCTAGATTTCCTGGTTTCCATGGCCCATTGCATGTCCTTCATAAACACCACGTGAGGTTATTTAACTACACCATAACACAGCTGTGTTCACCATATGCAGATTTTCAGCCATGCTTTGGACAAGGAAAGCTTGAAGAGAAGTGGAAGACTTCCCTCTGGGTTTTTTTTTTGGTTGCTTGTTTGGTTTTTTTGTTGTTTGTTTTTTAGGGTTTTGCATTTGGGTTTGTTTTTTTTTCAGTAGAATAAATAGAGAAGTCATTAAAGCTACTCAAACTTGCTAGCCAAATTTTTGCAGATGTTTGGAGACAAAAAGGAAACAGTGTTTAATTCCTAAATTTTACTAACTACATTTCATAAAGTCAGTGTATCTGTCCTCAGGCAAGGATATATATTCCTTTTGAGCAAAGCTTAGCCCAAGAATCCTGAACTCATCACTGTCCTTAGGTACCAATGACATTTGGGGGTGGCTGATGATGATGATGTTTCTGATGTTCAGAGGCAGATATAACTGCTTCTTGAAGAAACACTGAAAGCTTGCTGTATATACTCCAGTCTGATAAAAACTGACACATAGTTTTTTTCTTGATGCAATAGGGGATGTACACATTCCCATTCCATTAATGCTGTGTCCACTAATTAAGCAATTAATTTTCACTTTTTTTAAAGTAGACAAGGGGAAGAAGGGAATCTCACTTTCCAACATCTCGCTTCAAGAGAAAGAAAATAATCATAAATAATTGAAATAATCATAACTGAAATGTTTTGGTAATGCTGAGCTAAGTACAAACAGTTCAAGTAATCCAACGATAGGACAGCTTTCCACTGTAATCAGATCTGAGTTCATGGACGTTTTTAAAAAATGCCAAATTTCTGGTCAATGACACAGCAACTATTGAAAATAAGCGTTGCAAACAGCTAATTTAGTACAATAAATTATTTAGGCTGCTGTTCTACATACTCTGAAAACAAATTGCACAAGAGAAATAGACATTAACTTTTCCCATGTTATTATTATTTGGAAGAAAGTTGCCTCTACTCCAATTTAAGAGAAGGAATACATTAAGAGCTAGAAATGGAGTCATGCATTCACTGATAAGGACATGAAAATAGCCTATGGGAAACAAAAGCAGTGTCACGGATAGTGATGTTTGCTTAAGCTTTGGCTTACCTGCAGGCAGCTTCTTGTACTCTCTTGTTGCTATCCAAGATACGCTTTAGCAACTCAGTCATTAATGGCTTCAAGTATGTGTCTGGGGGTTGACTAACTACCCAGTGTGCATAGCGACTAAGAGTCCAGCATGTAATGGAGCGCACAAGAGCCTTTTTGTCAGAGAGGCACTGAATAAGGTGAGGGATTAGCTCTGGAAGATATGGAATCATACCCTGCATGCAGCCTGGAAAGAAAAATACAGCTAGTGAAGTATCATAATGAATGAAAAATTCTATTGTTTTGTGTTTTCTATGAGAGACAAATTTTCAATCTCTTTCACATAGGAACACAATATGCAAAGCTAAAAATACAAGTATTTTAACAAAGCAAGTCTACCTAATTTATATAATGTTCTAAAAAACCCTTACATAAACAATAATTATAATTATTATAATATATAATAATTGAAATTATTAGACAATTAAATCTTCAATTAAAGTTACATTATTTCCAATTACATTTCTACTTCAGTGCTTCCCCAGTCTCCAGAAATTCTGCTTTATTGAATGTAGTATAGCAAGTACATCCAAATAGTTTCTAAAGCTGGAAGTTCCTACTTCAGTCTACTCAAGATTAAGCAAGAAAATACCAAGCAGAGAAAGACTGCCTTGACAACAAATCATCACATGAAAAAGGATTCCTTAAGAAATTCAAATTTCTTTGTTTTTCCTAAAATCATTCAAATATTGATCAAAAATAAAAGCTGCACCCTTCAAGTCAGCCAGGGAAGTAAGACACTGAAATTTGCCAGAAGTACTAACTTCCACCTTGCTGGACTTCAAACCAAAACGAACTAAAACTTTTCTAGTAACAGTAAAAAAAAGTATGTTCATTAGACAGTGAGGAGAAAAAAAAAAGATAACCCAGGCATGAACCCAAATCTACTTCAGCTTGCAAAAGGGACAGAGACGCTGGAACTTCAGGCAAAAAAACAAGCAAGACTGTGAGTAAGTAAAAAATAATGGAAGTTAGCCTATTTGAATTGGAGGACCACCTACAAAAGACATTTAGTGTACTGAAATGACAGAAGTGGTTTTCTCCGTTTCTGAAAACACTTAAAATCTAAGGCTAAAATTTATTAAATATTTATCTCCTATGAAATCAAGGTAGTATTTTGAGAGACATCAACAGCTCTATACCACAAAATTTAGAAAAGGAGAAATAAAATAAATTATGTAATCTATTTAACCTCCCAAACATGCATAAATTTGAAAATGAAAAATAAAATAATAGCAACCACCCATGAGCAGATTAAGAGAATAACCACCAAAACCAAACCAGCTAAGGACATATACTTGTTTGCATTATTAAATTCATCCAAGCTACTTTAGAACCAATTTAAAAATCAGCAACCTGGTATGAACTGTTGCCTTACCTTCAGCAATTGCACCAAGAACAAGGATACCAGATTCTTTAACTACCCACTCAGGGTGGAAGAGCAATTCCTTCAACAGTGGCAAGATGTGTGGCAGAAGTTCATCACGAAATACATTAGCTAGGACATCTAGAGCAGCAGCTGAACATTTCCCTGAAGGGAATTAACAGTGTTAATCTCTGCTTATTATACAAACCATTGTAGTTAGACAATATAATCCCCTTTTTAACTCTGAGCTGCCAGTGGATTCTCAGTGCACTAGGAGGGAAAATATTCACTACACTACAGAGGGATTCACTGTGCTCCTGTGCAAAACCATAGCTCTTAGAAAGCCATTTTTATTATAATATCAGTTCCTTCTTAATCTGTCATACAGAATTGCACTGGTCTAATTAGTAAGCAATGCTGCTAATTGTCAAGCTATGCTGGTGCTTCCTCTCTGTTCAAACTGGAAGTCAAATATAGAACACTGGATATAAAATAGGGCATACAATTATGATTTTCAGATAATACAAATTTTCTCAGATCCAGATAACAAATGTCATTACAGATTTCTGAATTGTTTTACTCTTTCTCTCTTGGATCACAATTCCTGAATAACCTCCACTTTCTCACTGTTTTAATCAAAACCATGGATCACAGGACACCTTATGTCATTTGAGCTCTTTCTCAGAAAAAGTGTATTTAGTTCCGCAATCTCCACACACAGCAGTGACAAAAAGAGTATTAAGAATATAAAACTACACATTTTTCCAAGATGCAGCTTTACAGAAACAAGCATATTGTACTCATATTTTCAACAACAATAATTCTTCAGATACATCAACCATAAGCCTGAAGTTATATTCAGCTGTTTTGAAAATTTGTGGCCTTGGGGAAAAAGACCTTATGTGGCTATGCCCACATCTCAAAGCATTATTCCACAATGAGTTTGCTTGCAAAGCAAATTCAAACCAGATCTGTCAGAATTTCACTAGCTATTTTCTGTCAATGAACTTAGAATAACAGTTTGTACTGTTTTCTTTCCTTATAACATAGCCTACTAGCCTACAACCCTCGACCTCCTACGACCCACACAACAGGCCGTCTGAACTCCGGTTTCCTCAGAGCCATCTCCTATCTTCACAACTAAAGTATTGTATTGAGAAGCAAAATCCTCACCGAGAAAAGAAATACCTGTAGTGGACATAGGTAGTAGAATGTTCACATGGGAATAAAAAACAAGCCAAACCAAACCAAACACAACCCAATTTTAGAGGGAAGACTGAAATTAAAGAAAGCATTATTAAGCTTGCTCCAGTTATCAATGTGCAAAGCTTTTTTTTCTCTTTTTAAACTGAATTTAAGCAAGTGATACAGGATTTTTATTATTTCACACAGTTAAAATTTTAAGTCTGAAAGCTCCATTGAATTGGATCAAATAAATATTTGTAACTCCATCTGCCATATTCAAAATAAGCTTACAGATGGATAGCTTTTGCCAGTACAGTTAAAAAAGTCCAAGTGTCATCTCAAAGGCTCTCCCCCTCCAATATACCCACCAATTATGTCAGCAGACAGTTATTTTTGAAGTCAAAAACAAAGCCTTGGTATTCCTTATATACAAACTTGTCTTTTTACTGTGGCTCTTGTATTATGCAAGTAGCTCTAGTTAAAGGATTTCACACATTACTTTGACCTACTTAAATTCCAGTCAGAAATAGTATCATCATCATCAAGTTCATCATCATCATCGTCATCATCTTCAATACCATCTTCTTCATGTTGCTGAGCTACAGTCTTCGAACGATGAAAACGAGGCCTTATATCCTGCTCACTATCTGGTATAGCTTCGTCTTCTTCAACATCCCCCTGTCATCAAATTGTTTTATTAGATAAACTAGTCGAACTGTATTGCCTAAGGAAGTTAACAATGTAGTTTTAGTTCAAGATTTTGTAAGTGTATAAAAGATTCACATCTCACCTGAGCTGCTCAACTAAAAAAATGCCAGTTTCTGTGTTCTACAGCTGCATTTACCAGAAAAGCAATAGGAAGATACAAGCAAGAGAGGTACGCTCACCCCCAAAGTAACCTTCTTGTTAAGAAATTACTCAAGGGCAATGAAAGAGAAAGAAGTGATAGAGAAATTTTGACACACAGACATATGTAATCATGGAAAAAGCCATGTATTCAACATAGAAGGCATTAGAATTAGCTCTGAACATTTTTTTAATACTGCATTCTTGCAGTAGTTCATGGTAACAGTATCGCAGCTCTGCCTAAATTTTGTGGGAGGGGACTGAGGCAAAGCAGGAGAGCCACAGATTATTTTCCAACAAACACAGCATCAATTGCATTTAGTATTTGCAACACTATACCTTGCCCCAGAAAGCTAATACTCTACTAAAGAGATGGTAGGCTAGGTCTGCCTGTTCTGATCTGAATCATTCTGATTTATAGGTCAGAGCCTAACCAACTATTCCAACAGAGTAAAATAAACTGATGCTCACCTTCAACAGAATAATATCAATCTCTGAGTATTTCATACCGTTTACCAGCACAGGTATCAGCCTACAAAGAAATATTTACACATATTAAAGTAACACATAAAATAGCAAACCAATTTTACCATAATTTTGGTCATAACTCTCACCTCCCAACTCAAAAGAGAAACACCTCAGCCTGATAAAAAGAGCTGTTATCTAAACTTTGTTCCATGTCATAAGCTTCATCAATACTTTGTGATGAGAAAAAGTGTTATTCCAAATGACAGATTTTAAATAGAAGTACCCCAATGGCACACCTGATTAACTTATTCTGAAGCACCTTTCAGAAATTACATCTACAGATTTTCAGTACGAGTTCAAAATCCCTTAATACGCAGGATAAGTTGACTCTTGCCAACAGCATTTGTCACTTTATTTACTTGTCAATGAAGACACTACCTCATTACTATTAAAGATGGAAGCCTAACTACATTAAGCTCTCTTATTACCTCGTGATTACTTTAGTAAGACAAGCCTTAAACACTGCAGAAATCTTGTCCAATCCATATTAGCATGTACTTAATTATTAAACAGGTTATGGTTATGGAACTCCAACTGTACAGATGTACAGCTAAGAAAGTACTAAGGAAAAAAGTCAAGTACTTCCCATTAAAACATGTTCACCACAGCAAAAGAAAAAATGCATAACAATATATAAGCCAAATTAAACTAATAATAACCACGGATGATGCAGCAACAGTGACAGACTCAGTCTTGCTATATTTTGCAGGTGAATATTGTTTTTGAAGGTATCAGGGTCTAATACTCACACACTGCAATGCCACATTATGTTCTAAACTTTAACTGAAGGAATAGCAAGTATAAACATTATCACTGATTCATTGGCATTTCTGCAGCATACTTTGTGAAGTATACATTTTGTGAGAAAGCCTACAGGCATAAAATGGAAGAGATGTCAGAAGCCAGTGAAAAAGTTTTAAGAAGATCTTGTCCCATTTTCACTTTAGCATACAAAATTTTAAGGTTATTGAGTACTGACAAACTTATATAGCTCCCTAATCAAACAGGACTTACCAGCAAATAAGTTGCCTTGAACATACATGACACTGAAAGATCATGAAGAAAATGTGATGTGACTCTTATTAATTTATTTTTCTAGAAATTGAAAAGCTTTTTTAAAAAAAATCAGTATGATGCTGTCATTGTGTCAAGGTTCATGTAGGCCAAAAGAGATTTAATACTAGTAGTTATTAACTATGTGGTGTGTGTTGGGAACTTGGTACTATGTACTATCATTATTTTGCCTTTTGAGCTACAAAAGTAGGAATTAAATCAGACCATTTTGAAATTTAAGAATAACTTCTCATAACACTTATTCTCCTGGTTTAAATTCCTAGCCTTTCTCTGAAACAATACATGTTTTAATCTCAATTTTCTACTTTTTAGTTGGTTAGGAAAACCAAAAATTTGCTTTCTTTTTTTAATTACTTCACATCTCTAATGCTTATTTTTGCTGAGAAGGATGTGTCTCTTCTGTCATTCTATTATTCCACTCAAAGTCTTAAAAGAACTCTCCTTATTTAAAAAATCTTCATATATGAAAAGAAAGAGTACTCATTTGCTGGCAGCCCTGAAGAACTAATTTCCTGTTGTAAAAGACTTCAAAATAGTCTGGATAAAGTTGCAAGCACTGTTACAGACAAAAAGATATTTACACAACCCACATGAATATTTACTTCCATTCAATCGAAGATCTGTCTCTTGAGGTATAAGAAAACTTTTTGACACTTTGAAAAAGTAGGTTTTGAAACCTGAACTACTCTCAGGCTGCAGAAGCGCAAAGGAACAAATTTTACAGGTTTTCTTCAAGTTTAACTTGTAACAATAATTGATACAAAATTGATTTCTAAATCCAAGTTGTGTCATTTTGTTTTATGCTTTTTTTAAAATGAAGAACCCTTTCCATGACTATGCACACTGAAGCACTGCACCCACATGCCTACATTACCAGTAGTAAAGACAACATGTTCATGGTCACCAGGTATTATGGACTAAGTCACGGGGAGTTGTTCACTTAAGGGCATTTTACAGAGTCTTTGCATTCATGTGAAGTGTAACACCTTGTTAAATTCGAGGTAAGCACTACAGTGACACAGTTAAATTGTTTCTGGCATTCACTGGGTCTGAAACCCTCAGAGGCTTTTGCAATTTTACTGTGCACAAGAACTAGCTATGGAATTCTTCCAAGCATGCTTCAAGCCATATATACTGTCTCTAAGAGTATCCATGAACAAGTCAACTGAAATTTTAAGAGGACTGTCTCAAAATAAATATGAGTTGTAACTCTTGATACTTACTTAGTAAGATGCCGACATAATACCTCTTTACAAATTGGCTGTTCAGCCAAAGTCAGCCAAAATTCACATGCCTCCAAAGCCACATTTTCATCTTGGTCCTGGGTCCTTTGAAGCATGTACTACACAATATAAAAATAAATTACTTGTATAAAATAGATCATTTATGTCAGAACCTTTTCATTAGTAGGTCAAAGAGCATCTCAGCAATGTAAAATAATATGCTTTATCCCGTTTATGGTCAATACACCCAAAAAAGCGACAACTTCAATGTGTAAACTGGAGCAGTTTCACCACCAGAGCCAGATTTTGAACATAATCTTTGCACTTAGGGTCAAGCAATGCCTGGCTGTGATCCCAGCCACTTTGGGATAATTGATTTAATGAAGAATAAACAACTACCATATGCACTGCTTGTCAAACACAGTGTGTCAAGCTGCAATTAGGTAAGAATAATGTTTTGCAATCTCAGTCTTGGAGGGAAACAAAGAACCAGCAAGTGCAAGAGCAACATACCTGTTCTGATGAATGCTTTTTGTTTATTATTTCTGCAGTGTCAAACAGGGGAATCTGCAGAACACCTAGGAAATGAGACTCACCTCAACTATACTAATCATATGAGGAAGAAGGCGATCCATCCGAACTTCCAGCAACATTACCAGAGCACGGCAAACATTTTTGCGTACTTCAGGCTCCTCATCGCCAGCCAGTGCAAAAAGATTCTGTTGGAAAGTAGTAACAGTCAAAAAACCTCAATTCATCAAGTTCAGCTTGGATTAGAATTGACATTACTGGCTGACTAAAGGAGATGTACTTCTGTACTTGCCTAATGCACACCTCAGAATACTATTTTATTTTCTAAAAAATATATGGGTTAGCAAATTAACTCTTGTCTCTCAGTCTATGTTTTATACATAAATATGGCACTGTGTATTAACACTGGTACAAGAACAGTACTTCTGGATTATTTTTTTCCTTCTAAACATAAATGGTACCAGTACCTAACAGGAGCAAATCAAATACTCTAGACAACCCAAAACCTTCTCATCCAAGTTCAGTAATAGTATTCAGACAGGCAGACAGGCCCAAAAACATGCACTTCTCAGGATAGGTATGAGACAGACTGCTGCCATTACTTTTGCACCTTTACACAGTAAGAGCTTTCCCTATGTAGGAAAAGGGAACATTTTTGAAATACGCCTACTACTTTTGCTTAGAGTGGTTAGCTCTGAGCACAACCATACAGAATGAACTTCAATCCATGGGGGCTGAAGCTAAGAATGGGCAAAGAGAAATTGAGTTCAAGGGCAGAGGTGGTTGTAAAATTCAGTTCAAGCCTCCTGATAAATAAGATAGGTAATTTGATTTAAACCTCCAACCAAGAATACACACCTACCTCAATAAAAGAATCTATGTGCAACATAAGAGCTTGAGTTCTGCTGATGATAAATTGATTGACACATGCCACTGCATGAGACCTACAACAGAAACAGTTTAAAATACATAAGTTTAATGAGTTAAAAACATTTTTTAAAGTGTACTCAGGCATCGAAAGCATAAACCAAATATCTTCCAAGGCAAGAGAGAACAAATCTATGCATCTGAAGCATTACAAAGCAAAATTACCAAACTACATTTTAAGTAATGCCTTATATGCTGATATACTTAATAAATACTTTAAAATAAAGTATTCAGTAAATAGGCTAGGATGAGATGACATATTTGTTCTGAACAGTATGTATGTTCTTTTTGAGCATATTATGACTGTGATCTTCTCGGATAGTAATAATTCCATACTAGTCAATATGGTGAGATTTTAGCCTGACCTTCGTTGTGAAGTATGCAACCATCTTTACATTATGTTTAGAATTTGCTGAGATAAGAATGGGCTCACAATATACATGTAGCTTATAACAAAAACACACTTGTAGTTGGATACATACTAAAACACTTGTAGAAGAAACATTCTAGAAAATGAAGCACTTTTCTTCTATTCCGTTTCATGCAAAACCATTTCTTACAGGTGTTTTTCATTCTCAGACACTAAAGTCAAATTTTCAAGTCAGAAGCACAAAGCAAAACTACCTGTAGAACCCTCTGAAGATTCATTACAGTATTTTTACTACTGAAACTTCAAATTTCTATTCTGTTAAGACATTTCCCAGAAGACTGTGTCATAAAATATTGTCTGAAAGTTGTCTTTTGATAGATGTGAAGTACTGCATGTACACTACTAGTCCTTTTATACCTCAGCATTATGTACTGAAAATAGTACATAATTCAGTATTCAAGTTCAGTAGGCAGATAGCCAGCTTTTAACTTGAAACTGGTTTAATTGTCAAAGCCATGAAGAAAGCAGCACAGGAAAGAAGTGAAAGACTGTACAGTGTGGTAAGTACAGTGTGTTTTTCTGCCTCTCTCCCAGCTCCAGAGAACTATTAAGTTTATCTTTCCATAAGACCAAGTTCACACTTAGTTTCATAATTTTCTTAGTGAGCATCTTTTATAGATGACTTTCTAAACTGTATTAGAATTCTATCATTAGTCTTAGTCTTCACTATCTACTACCCCTGGCAATAGATTTGCCACTTTACTGCAGTCAAATGTAATTTTCAAAGAGAAGATAAAACACATTTCACAGAACCACAAAGAATCATATAATGGTTGAGACTGGAAAGCACCTCTGAAAGTCATCTGGTTGATGACTATGCTCAAGCAGGGCCCCCTACAGCCAGCTGCCCAGGACCACATCCAGCTGGCTACTGAGTATCTCCAAGGATGGAGACCCCATTGCCTCTCTGGGTAACCTATGACAGTGATTGCTCATCCTCCCAGTAAAAAAGCTGTTCTCAGATATTCAGAAGGAACATTCTGAGTTTCTGTTTGTGGCCACTGCCTCTGGTTCTGTCACTAGGTGCCACTGGAAAGAGCCTGGACGTTTTTTTTTCTCCCTCTCTTCAAGTATTTACATATGTTGATGAGTCCCAACTCTCTTGGCTCCTCCTGATATGGCCCTTTGCTGAGTCTTTCCAGTATATCCATGCCTCTCTTGCACGGAACAGTCCAGAACTGGACACAGTACCTCAGATATCATGTCACCTGAAAGTTGAAGGGAAAGATAACCTCCTTTAAACCAGCTGGCAATAGCCCAGGGTACCATTAGCCTTCTTTGTGGCAGGGGCACTCTGTTGGTTCAATTCAGGATAAAAACTACTGTTCTTTGTAACGAATACTAGCAACAATTTAATTCTGGAATTTTTCTTCTATACTATTACTTTGGAGAGATTAATACAGTTTTGTAGTAAAGGGATGATGAATCCATATATTTTGAGTCAGTTAAATGCAGAACTTGTTTTTTCTATCAGAACTCAGAAGCTTTTGTCAGCAAAAGAATTTTCACTCTTCCATTGCTGATGCAATTATAAAAGGAATATAAAATTGTTATTTCTATTCAGAATATTAAGTTCCAAGCACAAGAGTGAATTTTTTGTAATAATATGCAAAAACCTGTAAGAAACTAATTGTGTTAAGAGGTAAGATTCTTGAATTAATTATGAAGATAAACATGGAAATTACTGATGTATGGAACCTCTGTGGGTCTCTGCAAGACCATTTAAAAAAGCTAAGCAGATTTTAAACAGATGTACAAAACAGCAGCCTTGCTACTAATGTAAGCAGAATTTTAACAAGTAACTGCAAGTACATCTCATAAACCTACCGTATTTTTGGACTGCTATGCTTGAAGAACTGCAAGAACTTCGGTATCATGATATTGAGTGGCCGGTCCAACACATCACTATCTAAAATTTCAGCAGAATCTTCACATATCTTTTGAAGAGCGCCAAAAGCACCCTGTTTAAAAACAAATAAACAATTAAGTACCTTCTTTCACATTCTGAAGAAAACAAAATTTGAGACCTCACATAGAATGGATAATTTAAACACAACACAGTAAATGTAGCTAGTTAGTGCTGTAAATGCAGTTAACTAATTAATGATTACATTGAAATATTCTTAAAGACATTTTATTTAAACCAGCATCTGAGCATCTGTCAGCTCTCAAGCTAAGAGAGTTAGCAATGACTAACTGATAACTTCAGTTTGATTTGATGCTCATCTATCCAAATCTATTTAAAAGAACACTCAAAAGATAATTTATTTGAGAAGTAAGTAGAATGAGGCAGAAGTACCCAAATTAATTGCAAATATAATTGTATTTCCCTTCATAACTCACTATGGGGAAAAACAGGGATAATGGTCAATCTGAATTTAATTTTCAAATGTAGTGTATTTTTTCCAAGAGAAAGAAACACCGAAACACTACACAACAACATATCATCTTGGATCATTAGTCATCTCTGAAGTTCACTTTATACAAAATGTTTCACACTTTCACGGAGACTTTATCAAGTTATTCAAATGGTGTCATCATAATCCTTATTTTTTTACATTAGACATAGCTTTATATTTTTTCTCTTTGTTTAAAACTGTTATTTACTTGTTTCCCTTCATACAGACTAAACAAAACACTTCATTTCACCTTGATACAGCAATTGATCACTTTTCCAAGTTACAAGAAAAATGAATACTACTTCTATGTAAGACGTAATTGAACATCAACTTAATGATTCTAATAGTGCCTAAAAGATTAGGCATCACGGAGCAGTAATTTCAGGAGACTTCTCAGCTAAGATACTGTGATTATCCATCTGCAATCTTATTCTAGTTTTATGCAAAGAAAATCAATTTGTTTGAATGAACAGTAAGAACATGGACTACAGGTAGAAGAAAAATTATCAAATCTGAGTCACTGTTCCTCAAGAAGAACACATGGTCATGTATAAATACATACAGACATACACACAATACTACACATATACATAGGATCTGTGGAGAGAGATAAAAATAATGAAATTCAGATGATCATTTTCTATTTTTTATAAATCTCCTAACCTCACAGGTATTGTAATCTTCAGAATCCAGCAGGCTGCAAAGCTTTGGCAAGAGTTCAGGCCAATTCTGTAACTCCCCTTTTGAGGCAATGGTTGTTATCAGAATGCCTAAAGAAAGGAAAAAATGAGATCTCACATGCTTTCACTTGTTTTGTATCAATTTTTCATATTTTTCTTGTCTCAAATATTTAAAGAGCTAAGAAAGTTATAGTTTGGTTAAGGACTGGCATGCATAAAAAGAGTGAGTACATTTAATTGCAAATGTTATTTGAACGGCTTTAACAGCAAAGGTGGGTTGCTCCTTCCTGCTGGTATGAAATACTCAAACATTAGAAATCAAGCACCAAGTAACTTCATTTAAGGAAATTATAATTTATAACATTTATATATCTGTATAATTTATAATTAACAACACAGCAGGGCAGCTTTGGCTCTAAGTTTACTAAACACCATACAAATCTGGATGTTTAATAAATACAGAGTATTCATCCAAAGTCACTCTTTTTCACTATGATAGGAAAGCACGAATGTGGAAATCTGTCATTCAATAAGCATACAATCTAGTAATAAATTCCATGTTCACAACTTTACTGTGTTTACATGAAACATTAAGGACACATTCTAAGACCAAGATACCTACTAAGAGTTTAAACACTATGGTAGGTCATCCAGTTAGGAAATGTGAGAGCCAGCAAACAGACAGGTTTTGTTTTCAGCAAATACAGAAATCCTAGGCAAAATTAATTAGGTAACAGGGATCGAGAAGGTTACTTATAAACTAGGACTAAATTTGTATGAGCCCATTTTGCCCCAGTGCAAAACATAACAGCTAGCACAATCCTTTATGCTACTGGCATTCTAAGGAGTATGAATATAGAACTTAGCACTACTACAACTAGTAGGCAAAAAGTGATGGAAAAACTTCAAGTTTTGCCTTGAGCTACTCACTCATTTTTCTTTGGAATAAAGTACTAAAATTCTTGTTTAATACACAAGAATAGAGGACAACATTACAGAGCAAAGGACATTCTGGACAGGACACACAGTAACTAATAGATATTTTGCATTATTCCTTTGATGCGATATGCTGAATCTTTTCAAGGTCCTAGAACTGGTTTCAGAGGATGAAATGGTCTGGCATGCAATTTGGACCACACATCTCATTATAAACCTTCTGTGCAAATTGTACTTTGCTTCTGTAACTCCTGAAGCTGATTTCTGAGCTCCTTAACTTTTAAAAGCTGAACTTCATAACAAAATTCCCCCTTATAGGGCAATCATTAGCCTTCAATCTCCTCCTGCAGTGAAGGTCTCTGGTTCCTCCACTACTTTCAAATACTTAAACTATTCTCCCTGCTTGGTTTCAGTTAGGAGCTACACTAAGGTCCTGCCCAGACTAGAGTCCCCAGGAAGTTTTAAGAACAGTTGCAGATGCTATCTAAAGAGATGTACTTATATCCTGGTAGATTTGTGGATCCTCAACAAATGCAGCTTGAATCTTATATACAAAATTAGCACATGGGGTTTTAAAACCTGTACCAAAGGTTAACAGCACAGAGAAGATACACTCTGTTACTCATCTGGGAATTAGAATAAGGATAAAGTAAGAGTAAAACAGTGTGCAGTTATCATTAAAGTCACGTGCTCATTCTCCTTAGCAAGGTGACTTCTGAAGATGGGATTAATCTATTTGCCTCCATCTTGGCCAAAAAGCATCACCTTTGGCACTAGATGTTAGAGACCACAAAGGAGAGTGAATACTACACTAAATCTTCTCTGATGCCATTCTGATGTACTTGCTTATCTTGCTCTCAGAATTCCTGAGATGATATTTGCAATTGACTCATTAAATTGACAGTGCTTGAACTGCAAAAACATGTGTTCATCAGAAAGAGCAGCTCTTATCTCCACCTGCCAACCAGGACAAACCAGGATATCATGCTAAGAAGGCAGTCTACATAGGTAGTAACATCTTTACACCTCACTAGTACCAAGAATCCAGTGGGTACCGGACCAAGGTCAGACAGCTAAAAGGATCCTACAATTCAAACAGAAGGGTGCCAAAAACATGCGGAACAGCAACACGCAAGCATGCAGTTCATCAGCTGCTACTCATCCTCAGCATTCATACATGTCTAATAATCCCTGCAAGGATCACTTAAAGCTGAGCAATAACTGAGCTACTAATCCACAAGCATTTCCTATCAGGAAAAATTAAAGAGTAATTGCTTGAAAACAAACAGCCCCTACCTCCCCAAAAAAACACCACACAGACCATCACCAAATAACCCTAAGATAGCAAAACAAACGGAGCTGGAATATGTTCCTTAGCTAGCTCCACTGTACTCCACTGAAAACTCCTATGAACAAAGAAGTAAGCACGACTTCTACAACTTGAAATTCAAAGAGTACCTGACACTCAAAGACTTGTTTCTACTCTCATTAGTAACACTGGTTACTAATGAGACTTCTACAACTTGAAATTCAAAGAGTACCTGACACTCAAAGACTTGTTTCTACTCTCATTAGTAACACTGGTCATTAATAGAATTCATAGTAAAGCAGCTTTACAACTGGCAAAATAGCAGGAAAAAGCTAAGAAACAAGTAATTTTCTCTAGACTTTAATCTATAATCTGAATGCATGGTGAAGGAATCTTATAGAAAAAGCAAGTTATTCTAAACAGTAACTGGTAGATTATTTTATAAGAGGAGTCAACTGAGAGAAGCTGAATTTCTTTCTGAACTGACACCCACACCCATTTTCAGTATTCAAATACATGTTTTATGTTTTTCCAGTTTTTTAGCAGACCAGGAAAATTACTACAAGGAAATTGTACTATCAAAGAGAAGGCTACTTATAAACTAGGACTGAATTTGTATGAGTCCATTTTGCCAGTTCAGATAGAATTTCTATCAGTTCAGATAGAAAAGCAACTTTACCTTGAACTAAGTAGAAATAATACAAATATGCATATTTTATGAAAGATGTGTATCAAAACAAAGTATTTACAAAATCAAAATTTCATGTAACAAATAAAACTTCTCACTGGAACTAGATCATCTTTACGGTCTCTTCTAAGACCATTTCATGATTTTATGATACTATGAAGTTCTATACACCACACCTTATCTGCTGCTGTTTTCTGACAGAAGCTCTTTACTTGAATGCCTTATGCATGGTACGACAATTCCCTGACGGGATGTGCACAGGTGTGCATAGAAGGGGTGGGGTGTAGAAAATCAGCTAACAGAAGCATTTCAATGATGCAATCAGAGTACTGCAATAGTTCTTAAGTCAGACCTTTACCACATTCCTGTTTTTAGGTATATAAGCTGGCAGCAAGCTCAATTTAAGCAGATTCAAATAAACTTATGTTCAGTTAAATTTCAAAAAATATGAAATGAATTGCTGTATCACTTCTAAGATAACAGGAATCTGAAGTATGACATCTCTATATTTACAATAAAGAAAAATTTCACTGAAACATGCTGAGGTTGTGACAATTACAAGAAACAAACAATTCCACAAATTTAGTAACTATTTATGTCCCTAGTACAGCTCTCACCCATATTGGGAACCTTTCCAGTATGCAGAGGACAGCATTAAGAACAAACTTACCTACAGTAGCTCTAATTAAGGGGGAGGAATCACCAATGTTGTTCAGACATTCACTTTTAATGAAGTCAGTTACCCCATTCGGAAAGTTGTGAAAATGTGCTTTTACATTATTCTTCAGGATAAGACCACTCAAGGAACGTGTTGGCTCATCTGCAACAGAAAGTATTTACAGTCATTCTTCAATCAGCTCACAGAAATAAAGCAGATTTCCAGAACAATGCCACAAGATCAAAGCCTATATATAGATATTAATCTTCATTTCCTTATCTCTCCTTGTAGCTACACCCGTCACTTCATGTAGCAGACCTTTTCAGGTTCAGAGTACACAAATTAATAACCAACTATATAAAGTTCAACAAGGGTAGTGCCAGATGCTACACTGGGAATGGGGCAACCTTGGATGTGCAGACAGACTGGGGAATGAGATGCTGGAAAGCAGTGTCACAGAGAGGGACCTGGGGGTCCTGGTTTGAGGCAAGCTGAACATGAGCCAGCAGTGCCCTGGCAGCCAGGAGGGCCACCCGTGTCCTGGGGACATCAGGCACAGCATCAGCCAGGCAAGGGAGGGGATTGTCCTGCTCTGCTCTGCTCTACTCTGCTCGACTCTGTTCTGCTCTGGGGCAGCCTCACCTCGAGTGCTGGGGACAGCTCTGGGTGCCACAATAGCCTAATGTAAAGCTATAGAGTGCCCAAAGGAGGGCCACAAGGATGGTGAAGGGCCTTGAGGGGAAGCCGTGTGAGGAGCAGCTGAGTTCACATAGTCAGTTCAGCCCAGAGGACACTGAGGGAAGACCTCATTGCTGTTATGGTTTCCTTGTAAGGGAAGTGCAGGGGCAGGCACTGATTTCTTCTGTGGTGACAGAAACAGCACCTGAGGGAATGGCCTGGAGTTGTGTCAGGGGAGGTTTAGGTTGGCTATCAGGAAAAGGTTCTTCACCCAGATGGCGGCTGAGCACTGGTAAAGTGCTCAAAATCCTTGTTGATCCCTTCAATCTCAGCATATTGTTTGATTCTGTGATACACTATTTCTGTTTATTCAAAATTAGAATATGGATTATGAACTCTACATTTTAAGAGAAAGTCTTGAATAGACATATGGGCAGGTAATAGATCTGAAGTTACATGATACAGGAAATTTATTTAAGACGTTTGTCAGCCAAAGACATTCAGACATTCTGATTATACTGACAGGCTTGCTGCAATACTTAGTTACTGATACTGTAAGAAAGTGGTGACAAACCACAGTAGGATATGGAAATGATGTAGGGATTGTGCAGTAAAACCTCTACCCCAATACTCACACAAATACAGTGTTCCATTTTTCTAAAGTAAGGTACTTTAGAAATTCGAAATGCTGATCTATTTTATTAAATAATTAGAGGAAGCAGGAAAAAGAAACATCTGTAGACAATGCAACAAAAAGTTACACATCATGAGCTATAAAATAAATGCAACCAGAACTGACCTGAATTGAGTAAGAATTAAAGTTCAGGCAACGGTTTGAGTTCTGTTTACTAAGCTCTCTCTAAATTACTGGGCCAAGTAGAGGAATGGAAAAAGAACAGTCTAGATTTTTCATTTATAGTGGAATAGATTTGTTTCATTCATAACCAAGGGCATGAGTAACTTGGTATTACTTCTGAGATATGCTGAAGCATCAGAATGCTCTATATAGAATGAGTTAGCTTACAGTATAAGCAAATTTAAATTTACAGTTTACAGCAATCCTCATAGCACTGGAAGCTGATTTTAATCAGTATTTTAGCCACTTGTCGAGTTTTTTCTAAGTGCTGGTTTAGGCAAAATAAGGAATTCCTTTGTGCCAAGAAATAGTCTACACATAGATCTATTCCAGCTCTCCAGAACTATTATTAAGCCAAAAGAAATAAACATAAGCAAAATAAGAGATTTCAAATATAAAGTACTTTCAAACTAAAGCTACTGCACCACAACACCAAGACTCCCTCAATACTGCAATGTCTGACTGACAGCTGACTAACGGACACTGGACACTTTAAACCAGTAAGAAGAGAAACAGAGCTTTTCAGAAGAGAGGGGATTGTTCGGCTAATCAGAAATTAAAATTCATTTTAATCAACTCATTTTGAGTGCGAAAACCAGAATGCCTTACACTTTTTACATTCATACACTTTTTAATCTTGTCTTTTACGTTCATATCTCAGTTCTTTTAAAGAAGCATAAGTTAGAATGCTCTGGAACTACAAAGGTATTGCTATAGAAACAAACATGTCCCTTAGAATTCAATAACTTTATAAACCAAGAAGTCACCCAATGAATACATATGAGACAATTCTACAACTTTACCTACACTATATGATTTAACTACCAACTTCTAAACAACATAAAAAATAAAACTCATTTCATTTGCACAGCACTACATTTGCTAGCACTTTTTCTGGAAGAAGGAGGGGGAAAAATGGTTTATTATTTTAAATAAAAATCTAAAGACTGTATGTGTAGACAACCTCACAACTTAGTTGTAAGCCATCAGGAGTATTACTATAGTTACTTGGCAAGCCAAATCAAGTAATTTTGAGATAGTCTCTGAATTAAAAGTAAAATCTTTACAGCAATTCTTGCACCAATAAAGTATGTCAAAGTGATTGCTTTACATGACTGTCATCCATTGATAGGCACACACATCTTCAAGAAATTAATTCATAAATTACTACGATGATTTAAAATTGTGCCTGGGGAGAAAAGAAGCTAAAGGAATCATCCTTTACTTTCCACATTTTAAAACTTTCGCAAATCACAAAAAACCATTATTGTTAGCAGCCACAAACAACAAATACAATAGTTACTGCAATTCTTGATCATCTAACACGATCTTCTTGGTGTGAAAGAAATCAGTGAAAACCAAAATTAGTAGTCTAGTCACTATAAGGATAAACTCTAGAATGAAAATACTAAACACTGCATTAAGGAAAAACATTAATCCATTAGAATGCCTGGCTACATCTACAAAAGGGACAAGGCAACAGCTTCAATTTAACCAAGCAGGAGATACACACATTATTAAGTTCCTTTTGTCAAAAACAGACAGATTAGTCAACCAGTTTAGATAAAAATAAAGGTCACATTATTTCAGGACCATTTTTGTCTTCACACACACAAAAAAAAAATCTATGGTATGCAGCAATATGAAATATTTTTAATCCAAACTTTTAGCCAAGATAACAGAAAAACTAGTCTTCATAAAAAGTGATTATCCCACATATCTGCAACTATGATTCCATGGGATTCATAATGGAAGTGGCATCCCTGACAAATGAAAAAGAAGTAACAAAATGAGAAAAAGAAGAAAAATTTTAAAAAAAAAGCAAAATAAATTATCACCAGATTGAGAGGTGACAAGCAGAAATCACAAAAGACTTTGTGCTAAACAAACATTAACCATTTGAGAAAGAGAAGCTATCCAGAACCTGATATCCAAGCATTAAAAAAAACCCTAAGAAATAACACTGCATCTTAAAATCTTAGTTTGAGAAAAAAAAAATTCAGATATGACTGGACAAGGTTATTTATGGAATACAGGGTGTTCAACAACTTAACAGCTACACCATCAGAAAATAGTAATATAGATCTGTACGGAATTCTTGCTGTAACACCAAAATTACAGGCAGATGGCTTAAGAGCTGAGTAAGACCTCCTTAGTTTTCATAGATTTTATGACTAGTTCTGCCAGCCATATGCTTCTGCCATCAAAAAAGCTCAGTCTTTTCTCCTTTTGTCTCAGTCAACTTGGAAGTACAGTTGACAAGAACTTATAGTACAAGAAAAAGAAGGAATGTGAAGCAGACCTCTGGCGTTTGGTATAATTTTTGGTGCTAAATCATTTAATCAGTTTAGTTCACTGCCTCACTTTGAAATAAAACCATATAACAAGTATTTGTTTCTAGTAAATTTTCAATCCTAAGAGTCTCATGCTAGTTCCAAATTTTAATAACATACAGAGCAAATGGATACATAGCCACATTACATGACTTATTTCAGGGTTACTGCAGTGCTTTTAAGAACCAAAGTGTGTCTTCAAACAGCCACACTTCCTCTGCTGAGGGTTTGTACGAGAAAGGTTGCATATGTGAAAGCAACAAGGTTTTTGGAGTCCACCTACAAACCCAGGTAAGCATATGTTTCACCATGCCTTTTAGAATCACAGAATGATTTGAGTTGGAAAGCACTTTAAAAAAGTTACCTCATCCAATGTCCTTACCATGGACAAGAATGTCATCAATTAAATCAGGTTGCTCAGAGCCCCATCCAATATTGTAATGTTTAAGGGGATGAGGCACTCACTACTTTCCAGGCAACGTGTTCCAGTGTTCTACCACCCGCATTGCAAAAAACTTCTTCCATACATCTAACGTAGCCAACCTTTTTTTAAAATCATTACACCTTGTCCTATCACAATAAGCCTGGCGAAGAAGTTTGTCCCAATCATTCCTATATGTCCTCTTTCAGGTATTGAAAGGATGCAACAAATTATCCTGAAAGCCTTATTTTTTCCATGCTGGATCACACCAGCTCTCTCAGCCTTTCCTTACTGTAGAGGTGTTCCAACCCTCCAATGGTCTTTGGGGCCCTCTTCTAGACCTGTTCCATGTCTTTCCTATGCTGTGCCTCTCCATCCACCGTCTGTGCATTTCCTTTTGCTCTTCAGTTTGATGAGCAGGTCAAACATAACTTGCTAGACTGCTAAAAGAACTCAGTGATTGGGATGAGAACATTTGCCCATTCACAAGCTGTGATATAATGATTTACGAGCATGGCTATATTTTGCTGTGACATCTTGTGATATTGGCAACATTAGATGTGAGGATGAGACTTTTTCTAAGGCAAAACTGCCTGTCAATCTCCATCTTAAAGCTGTAGTCTTTTTCAGAAATAAGCTGTCATTCTGTATTTTAACTATTGATATGGATTTACTATTACAAATACAAAACATGTATTGATAATGATTAGTGTTACTGTTTCACATGAAGATTTTTGATGTGTTAATAAGACTGACTGTTAAAAGAGATAAAACCAGAAAAATAAGAATCCTGCCAGAACTGTGTAATATGGGAAGCAGAAAATGAGCAATTTCTTCTGTCCTAATATATAAGAATATAGCATAAAAACAGCTT